CAAATTCATTGTAACTGAACTTTTTTTTTAATGTCGTGATTTCTTTTTGTTTTTAGCTAATAATTCAATTAGGATACAGATAACAAAAGTTTAACAGCATTTTTCGTATTTAATGAAACTGACTGACTTTAAGTTATGATATCACAGCTAACTGTATTCCATCCAGAATCTTCTCACCAAATCGATATTTCCTAAAAAAAAAAAAAGTGCAATTTTCCTCGACTCTTCAGTCAATGTTCGCCTGGTTCCTGCACTTGGATTTGACATTTTATACCATTTCTAATCCATTTCGTAAGTTCTAAATGACAGTCCAGTCACTTTGGTCGCAATGTCTTCCTGTCTATTTCAGAAAAACAAAATCGGAAGTAGCTTTTCAGGATATGTAATCACAGAAAATATGACAACACGGATACTTAATCTTAAATTCAGGATAATGTATAGAAGTAAAGCGGTACGCAACACAAGATTAACGTGCTAAGATCAAAGGAAACGCACAGACTGCGGAGATATTTGCGTTAGTTAATTGATTTGTTCATTTTCTCTTGCTGTAATTCTTCACGTCAGTTGTTGTTGATAGGGCCCACCACCGCCGTGGCATATATCAATAACAATTTTGGTCTTCCTCTTGTTACCTGCCCCTTTGATTGATAGCAAACAAAGTTAATGATTTCTTGAGTTGATTAAAATATGGTACCCTTGGGGTCAATAATAGCAGCTGTATCTTGTAATCTGTATTGGCTGACGATGTTGTGCATGGTAAATCGTGTTCATGAGTTGCAGGGAGTTATATCGGGATTCTAAAAGGATTTCAGTCAAATCTCAGTCAATTTTCAATGGATCACTATCGTTGAAAAGATGCTGTCCATCTTAGAGCTTAAGCTTACCATTAAATCAATACACAAAATTGTTTCATCGTTAAGCGATGAGCATTAATATTAGACCTTTATATAATTTCCCTACAAATTTCATAACGTTTCTCTGAATTACCAAGGTATACCATACCAAAACCTGCAGAATCCGGGTATTGAGTTTTAGTTTTTAGCTGATGAGTTTTTCTCGTAATGGAGATCATCACTGCATGAGTGCACTCCAGACTGTATAAAAAATCGCAATTTCTCGGCGTATTTGAATTCAAACTACCTTCTTGATAAAGAAAGAACTGTTAAAATTCCTAGGATTTTCCTTCTTTCTTTCACCATCTATATATTTTGGTTGGGTAACAAAGGTTATACGTGCACTGTTTGTCTTTTTTTAAGGACACGACATAATTCTATGCTACTGACCGAGAAAGGGATAAAAATGGTCGTCGGCATCAACCTTCCAGTAGACGACGTATAATGGTTCTTGTCCGCCACCTGTCATTCTCAGCTGTTATTAACCTGTATTTGTATCTCTTACGTCTAAGTGACCTTAAACCGGTAAAAGCCTACCGCCGACCAGTGAAAATCTATAAAACAGACTGAAATATATTGCTTTAACTGCAAACGCTAATACTAGGTTCTGGTTGGTATGTCAAAGCATAATGGTTCCCAGGGTCTAATTCCTTCCTTTTCATTGGCATTTTCCAGGACAGACGACAAAATCCGATTTCCCCTTTTCTCGGCGATCGTAATTTCCTAATAGTTATCTCCGGTTACATGGAGCCAACTGAGATTAAAGGATGCTAAACGAGTTTGTTGTTAAAATTACGTAAATGACATTTTACAACAGGATTATTCACTTAGAAATTGCCAACCCAATTACAGGCGGCCCTCGCTCCCGGTAGAAAAGTTTAATTAGTTCAGGCTCAGATATCATTTTGCTATCGATCATCTATCAAACTGATTTCCTAAGAATGAACTTTTATTCTATTTACAGAATATTCCACCTGAACCATTTTCATTGATTTGGAGTCCGACTGTTAAAGAATGACCTTTTTAAGCGAACGCCCAATCTTTACCAAACATGTCTTTCAACTTAGAAAAACGAAACTGTGTTATTTTTTGTAAAGTGATCGCATGTCAAAACTGGGGATTTTAGGCACGTGATATCGCTTACAGCCCAAGTTCAGTTCACCTGACAAATAAGGCTGACACGTAATGACCTCCGTTTCAACATGAGCTCCACTTTGTAACAACTGGATTTAGCAGAACTTTTATTTTGACGACAGATGTGGACTTCATTCATTTGCTTACAATCTGGGACAACAGCATCCCCTGTCCCCCATACCCCCTTTTATGAATTCATTGATAAATAGTTTAATAATGTAAAAAGTAAATCCATTTCGAGTTGGCCACATTCAGGAAAAATCATACTACTGAAGAGACGTAACAAATTGTTCAGGACGTCTTATTTTTTTATCCACTTGGTACGTATACCTTGTATCAAACTACATTTATCGTTAAAAAAACATCTGCAATCAACGGATGAAAACAAGCTACGTTTCGGTTGAACGAAATATATATTTAAAAACAATCTCCAAGGCGTTTTGGTAACAGAAGTAATACCATTCTACAAAAAGGAAGTTTTGTATTTAATTGCAATCCTCATGGAAGTGGGCATCGATTTAGAATATGATTTAAGCATCATCTTTGACAGATGCTCGTTGGCAATATGGATTTTATCATCAAAAAGAAATTGGATACCATTGTGTTTAAGACATAAAACAATATAATTACTATGAGAACAACAAGAGGTTGTGATTCTACACTGAAACCTGAAAAGTGCTTTCGGGTACAAAATGCTGACGTTTGCGAGTACCTGAATTGCTATATACGTGGCTAAAGTAGTGTGTCTAACAAGCTATAAACTTCTCACGCGTGAAGTGTTCTCTAACCACTAAAAATAATGTCTGAAAATAAAGAACCACTCAAAACAAATGTTGGCGGCTCTTTGCCAAAACAATATCTCCGTGTTTGTAAAGATAGAGATTCAGGCTTTATATACTTTAGTTATTACTGCATGAGTTGTGTCGAAACTGGGCCGACTGCTTAAAATCTAAAACTAACCTCTGATGATTTGTATACGGCTACTATAGAGTTTCAAAAATCAACTCTGTAAAGTTCCATCCATGAAATTTGCGTCATTAATGCAGAAGAACGTTAAAATGACGGCTAATTTGGTATCGTTCTAAAAAGTTTGTTATCAATATCGTAAACATTTGGAAACTGGTTAACGAAATCCAAAGATACTTTTTCTAACTATAGACTTCTCTTTTACAACGCATGTTACGTGCCAATTCCAAAATTAAAATTTCAGAAAGCATTTGGCTTTCATACAGTAAAAGGTACAGTTCAAAATGATCAAATAGAAAATTGATAAACATTTACTCCTTTCACAAAGGGCGATGAATCTAATTGAGGAGAAATGGGAATGAAATCTTCTCAGACTAGAATATATTTAGCATTTGTGTGGCAATAACAGTAAACCTACTGGCATACAATGTCCAGTTTAATCAAGGCTACTGATTGGTGTAATTGCACTTGTCAAGGAAACCATTTAACTCCACTTTTTTCATCTCTCTCTCTCGCAAATTTACCAATTAAACCTATTAATCCGCCAATAGTGTCGCTAAGCGGTAGGTAAGTATTGTCTATAGCTGTAATCAGACTGGATGTGTTGATTTCTGTTCGTAAATCGGCAATAAGTTCCAGATTTCGACATGCAATTGCAAAGGTGTTTTTTGACTTGAGACAGAGTGCTTACTAATGAGAATGCAGCATAGGTTTCCCCTCTGAATTCACTTGCATCAGAATCTAAGATTAATACATGTACACGCACTGGATTTGCGCTTTCTCCAATAACAAAGTCTTAAATGAAACCAAATCGAAGGATGCAAAATACAAACGGGAAATTACTTGTTTTCTTGGTAATGCCTGATTAATGCTTAATAATACCAACCTGTCGTGGCGAAAGTAATGCAATTACACAAAAGTAAAAATGTTCACCAAGGCTCTCATTTCACTTCTCACAACTACGTGAATTATTATTCAGCATCTGATGTAGAAGTGAAAAAAAAAAGATACTTAAAAAGTAACATTTTTTTTTATCTCAGACCCATAATGCAATACCAACGAACATCAGTATCCATTTTCAGCCGCCTTCAGCTTTAAGAAGGGAAAAGTCAACACGGCTTGTCGATAGCTTTCGTTATACCATGAAATTGACTGGAATCAATATATTGCGTCGAAACACCGTTGAAGATACATTGCTTGTGGGTACTATTGAGATTTTCGTCAGAGGTAAAATAAATCATCAGTCAGAGATTGCTTTCAGGTCCCCAAAAGCGTTCCCATAAATCACCATGCTAAATAGAACGGCTTGGAAACACTACACCACGCTTTACGTATAATTTCAATCGAGTAATTCGTATGAAACTGCCGTTCTGTTGAATACATGTTCAAAAGCAACCTTTTTATTAGAAGATGAAATAGAGGAAGTAGCAAATAGCGCTCTGCATAAGACTTTGCAATCTCTTTGAAAATAACCACCTTACTGCTATACATTACCGTAATATCGGATCAAAGATGCAACAGAAACAGGCCTTATAAACGGAATAGGCGTTTACTAACACTGCCCGCAGATCTCTTAGCACTAACGCCCATATTAACCACCAAAACCAACACACCGTGCAGTTATTTAGCACCAACAAAGCGATACCTAGCACTAACATCCATCCGTTCTGGTAGTGCTGGTTAATTTGTGGGTTTTGTGGTTAATATGGGTGTTGGTGCTTAAAGATCTGTGAGTAGTGTAATTAAACGCCTCATCCGTTTATAAGGCCTGAGAAAGACCAACAGGTGTGCAAAGATACTTTCAACTCTCGATTTCCATCAATATCAACAAATATGTATTCGTAATTTGGGAATCGCAGGAAATATACTCGTCCTTTTTCGGTATTTGTTTATTTTTTAATACGGCTATCCTTGATGTAATTTTACATTGACTCAGCATGTTGATTTAATTTCAATACATCTTACAGGATGCAGGGAAACGTTTTCTCCGTCTGGTGTGCTCTCCTAATGGCATTGGTGTTGCTCTGCCACAAAGCCGCAAGTCAAGACCCAGTCGAGAAACTAGGCACGTGCGAGGATGACACATCTCCGCGTGCGAGCACGTGCGCCTTGTGTAACACCTTTGGCGTGACGAAGCAGGAGGACTGCTGCACTGACGGTAAAATATTGCAAGAGTGCGCCGACGCTTTGAAGGCCGTTGTATATCATGTTGGTGCACAGAAACCCCAAAATGGAGGCAGCTCCGAGGAAACCATTCAGAAAAATATGGTAACCAAGGCAATATATAAAGCTTTACGAGGTCACGAAGACAATAATGAGGACTCAGAAGAGGGTGTTTGGGGAGACTTTGCCTCCGATGTTCAGAAAAATGATGGCGACGAGGACGACACAGACGAACAAAGCAATGATATGGCTACAGATAAACGTTACGGAAGTGTGTTTCGCTTCCCATACGGAAAACGTTACGGAAGCATCTTCAGGATGCCCTCTGGTAAAAGGTATGGAAGCGTCTTCAGCATGCCTTATGGTAAACGTTATGGGAGTGTGTTCCAACTGCCAGCCGGAAAGCGATACGGAAGCGTGTTCCGACTTCCTGGCGGGAAAAGATACGGCAGCGTGTTTAGGTTACCAAGTGGGAAAAGATACGGAAGCGTATTTCGATTACCTGGTGGGAAAAGATACGGCAGTGTGTTCAACTTACCAGCCGGAAAGAGATATGGAAGCGTATTCCGTTTACCCTACGGAAAGCGGTACGGTAGCGTATTCCGAATGCCCATCGGCAAGCGGTACACTAGTGAGTTACAAGACCCTTACAGTAAACGTTACGGGGCAATCCTGAGGTTCCCGTGGGCGAAACGGGATGAAAACTGGGGGCAAGATGAAGAATCGGACCCGGAAAACGATGCTGGTCCGTATTATTACGATTTCGACGAAAGCACAGACGAGGACAATGATCCTGATACGAACGAACTTGACAAAAGATACGGAGCAATTCTTAGGTATCCATGGGGCGACCACTGGAAGCGGACCGTGTCTATGTCCTCATTTCCATGGCGACCACATGAAAGCGCAGTAAGACGCAATGATGACATTGATGATGTTGACGCGGATTATCCCCATAATTCACAAAGGCAAAATGGCGAAAGGGAAGAAATCGTTGCAAAGAGATACGGATTGCTTCTTGGATGGCCGTGGGCAAGTACAGGCAAGATAAGAACATCTTACTATGGGAGATACTAAAGTGTTCAAACTGTTAGTCTTATGGAAGTGTTTGGCCGGCCTTAAACGATGAGACCTACATAGTGTGTTCCACTGGTCAATCTGGAAATTGGTTTAAGAAATTAAGACTAAATATATTATTACGTATCTTATATTTTACATAAAGAAGTGTCGTTATTGTATAGTGGAAAATACGTCCAAGTAAAAGAGTTTTAGACAGTCAAGTAATCTATTTCCTTGAAAACATGAAGATCAATGCTTTAGACTTACTAGTGCGTATCAAGAATTATAGAGGCATTTAAGTTGTAATACATCATATAAATCTATTTAGTTATTATAGTTCGGGCTTTCTCAAGATCGGATTTATGCATTTATCTCATAAACGATATTTGGACGACAGAGAGAAAAGAGCAGAAACTTGAAGAATAAAGATGAGTATACTGCCATGGGATCCATGAATGTGTAAAACATGCTTGCCACAAGTCACCCGTTCCACTACAGGGACGCCCATTGTGCTGTGAGTACTTAGGGCGTGAAAGGACAGAAATCTGACCTAGATTTTATAATATTTCTTTGAAAATCTTCCGTGTGTGCTTTTTTTAATTAAAATTTACAAGTAAAATTTTTGTCGACCCTTTTTTTAATGGTTTCTTACTGTAAATTATTTGCTTGCTTCTTTTTCGGATATAGTTTAGTTAATGACGAAATGCAAAGCAGGATAACTTGTATAAATCATCAGTACATGTTTGTCTGCTGTAATGAAAATCAAGTATATTTAAAGCTCGTTGTAATTATCTGGTAAGAATATAAAGGCCATCAAAGGAAACGTTTTCAGCACCCAGATATCGAGTCTATATTTGGTATGCTCGAAAAACGGTTAATTTTTGAGGACCAAATGAGGAAACAGGCTAGAATATCAGAATTTTATGACAACCGTGTCTGAGCTCATAAGCGACCTGTCTTGTATTTCTCTTTTACACGATGGCTTAATAAAGCATCACCTATAAATACCATGTCTTTATGTATATAAATTGTCAGGAACATGATTGTTCGGACAGTATTCATTCATATAATAGGTACTGGGGCATTATACATCATCAAGAAAGTCGTCTGTCTTATAATGAAAACAAAAGTTAAAGGCTTCTCTGCCTTAGACGGCATTCAGATTCATACATCGTACTAGCTAGGTCGGTCAATCTTTGCGGGTGAATTTCGCTATTTTAAGTGCTAACAGTAGAATCGCCTTAGTCTGACACGCCTCCTCAAGCATGTAGGGGGCTATTAACCAGTGTGCAGATTAAGCCAATTCTACTGACTGTACCTTAGTGAGAATCCCCCATAGAGTTGGACCGACCCAGTAAGTACGATATGCGATGTGTCTGAATGCGCCCTAAGTGGAATTCCTGGAAAGCACCCGGTCTAAGCCTTTGTCTGGAGACATAAGATGCTTTTTGGTATGGATATCACGTTTATCTGTCCTGAGGAGATAACGGCCTAGGCGCTCGCAAGCTTGGCATATTGCTATCGTGTTTCCAGGTTTGCACCTGAGATTTTCTATATTACCCTAGAGAGCATTATAATAAGCACGTTTGTTCCCGTGGGGTTTGGGGCTTAATTGAATTCTCTTACTTTTTATTTATTTATTTTTTTTTTACCAGCTTGATTTTTTTCAAGGAACTGCATGTACTAATGTAAAGAAGGAGACAAAGTCATATATCATTACCCCCATGCCCTCCGGCAAAAGCTAACCCCCCCCCCCCCCCCCCCCCCCCCCCCCNTGATGGGAGAGAATCAACCGAGGACATTAATTTTTTGTCTCCTGCTGATGAGGATTTTTTAAAACTAATTTAGAGGGGTTGTTTTTTTTACTACAATTTAGATTTGGCCTGAATGTTTCAAATGTTTTGTTGCTTTGTTTTCTTTATCAAGATCCTAAGGCCTTAGACCCCATTCCCAGAGGTTTAGATCGATCCAACTAGATCGACCCAACTCCCTGGGGGTTCATGTTAAATAGCTGTCAGCCGAGCGGGCACGAAAGTTAATTACCCCCTTACAGCTTGTAGTAGGCTGGACGGTCATTCAAGCCGGATTATCTGCCAGTAATCTAGTGAGACTCTCCACGGGGATAGATCGATCTAAAATCTAATGGTATCTGACATCCAGGAAAGGAGGGGGCACTTACCAAACCATGTGTTACATAGATTTACTTAATATGACCTTATAAGAGAGATACTTATGTACATGCATATGTCAGGTTTAGGCCACACTTTTTTAATTTTATGGATGACATCCTGCGCGCGCACGGATTTTCGCCCGTTCTCCAAAAAAAATAAAAAAAAAAGCCCCCCCCCCCCCCCCCCCCCCCAAGAAAAATAAATAAATAAATAAATAAATAAATAAATAAATAAATAAATAAATAAATAAATAAGTGGTATATTGATTATTGACCTGCATAAATATGTTAAAATTCAGACACACCCCGCTTCCATTTAAACTTTTTTCAAAAATAATACGTTATTAGAGACAGCGGCCCAGTATTTAATTAATTTTTGTCTAAAACTAAAATTTTTAACTTTTTGCGAAATTGGTCTGAAATTATGTATTTGGGCATATATTACAGTACAAAATAATGCAATGGTATTTTAAGAAAACAACACAAAAATGAATTCAATGTCGTAATATAAATGAAAAGACTTGGATTTAAATGCCCTTTATCCAGTAACCTTATAAAATATGTAAAATAAACATCACGTTTTGTTGGTTTTGAATTGAGCTGCGCTTTTTAAGTGCTTTGTCCTACTTTTTATAGTTTGCTTTGAATTCACTTCTCTATGCCCTTATATAGTGTTCTAAACATTCATATTTCTTTGTTTTTAAGTGCCATTTCAACTCAGATTGCAAAAGTGTCTAGAACTAAAGCTTTCTGTTAATACATAGTGCTGTTTTAAAAATTCAAAAATATTTCCCTCTTAACAGCTTGCAATGAAAGAGCAATCAAGTTTTTAAAACTATTCACACCAGCAGAAATAAATAAAATTAATTGAAGTATGGATATTTAAAAGCTAAAATGCAATGAAAAATGAATATTTATATTCCAGTAGTCTAGTGAAAAAAATGGTGGTGGTTCAATGGCGGATTTAGAAGGGGGTCAGGGGAGTCCTGACCCCCCCCCCCCCCCTTCGGTTTCTGAAAAATATATCACACCAATATTCCCCTCTTGAAATTAGAATTTTGACTAGCTAAATCATAGTTCTAAACCGTACCAAAGGGCACTGTTTGCTCTCAAGAAAACCAAAAAATTTTCGGGGCCCTTCAGCAGGCCCCAAACCCCAATGCCCCACACCAAAGGGGCGATTGTCGGCTTTGCATCCGAGGTCTGTCGTTCCGGACCCCCCCCCCCCCCCCCCTTAAAATAATCCCGGATCCGCCCCTGTTAACAGTCCTGATTGGTAAATAAGTCAGTCGACAAAATAAATAATGAGACCAAGCGTGTCTTTTCGTAGTCATACTAGAACCTACCAAACTGTATTTGGTCCTTGTTACATGTACTCATTCATATGAACCTCGACGCTATATCAAGGGCCTGACCACATGAAAGACCCGTCGAAAACCTGGTTCAAGTTATATATACTGACAGTCAATGAAAACACATCAGAAAACTTTCTTCTATTTTTTTTTTTTTTTTTTTTTTTACCGAGAATCGATTCCAACCATTTAAACGAGTACAAATGCACTTGTTTGGTCATAAGGGAGTGGGCTGACCACTAGGATGTTTAAAATTTTCGCTTCAGCTATTTAAGGTAGTCACCAAATCCACATGTGACACATGACAAGAAAGTTCAGTGATGCCACGTCTGACACTGAAAGAGTGACTGCGGGCCCTGGGGATGCTGGAGGATGGGCGGAACCAAAGAGATTTGATTACGTGACCTTGCATTTTCATGATCATTTCTGACCTTTATTTCACCTTGTGTAACTGAATAATGGGTCATATTTCACACGTAAACTGTTATTTTCTTAATGTGCCAAAGGAACAAATATATTATTTGATAAATAAATGATGCGTTTTCATTGACTCTCAGTATATAGACTATGGGATATTCAAAATGTTATGATTCATACACTATTGACGACTCGCGTCTTTGTTCGCGTTAAAAACTTAGCTAGCTTCTGATTCCATGAATGGCGAACGTGGGTCTGATGCTGAAAATTTCAGCAGGCCAATTCCCATAACTGAGCAAAACGTATCGTAGCAATGCAGTAGACCTTATCGATTTTTTTTTTTTTTGGAAGGGGTGTGTGTGTGTAAAGAAAGACACTCATTGCTCATTGCTGATTTTTCAGAATAATTTTTACATAGGAAAAACAGGTGTATAACAGGAATGGAAGTCCTAGGAATGGAAGTCCGGTCTCCCATCTGATTAGTACAGGTTAGGGTTAATTGGAGTATTGGGGTTAGTATATGGACGCACGTCAACTGTACAAAGTAATGGTTCCTGGATGACTCCCATTCCTGTTACACCTAGGCTACACGTGTAGTAGGCCCAGTTAGACACTTTTGGCCTTGTAGAGTATCATATTTGACATCGAATATTTGCACGACTTTGAGCATATGAAGGTATCACCACCTGGTTTATTGAACATTCGTGTTACCCCCGTCACACTTAATTGGAATCAGCAGGAATCAAGAAGAAAGAGGCTGAATGAAGAATTTTAAAAATTCGCACCACATTCGGGAAAAAAGTTTAAATTGACCTTAATTATTGTAAGAGTACCGTTGGAATACTCAGAATGCGCTTGAATTCGCCTGGAATGATAAGTGCACTTTCGGCTGTTTTAGCTCTCAAATGCAGTTCGAATGGAAAATGGAAAACTAGGAATATCTATAATGCTGTCAGAAGGCAGTCAGAATATTTATAGTAAACTTTGAATGGCGTACTAGTGTAGTTCGATTGCTGGAAAAATTAATTTTTCAGCTCATCCGAGGCACATTCGAAACATTCTGGCGGGATTTTATACCC